AGGCACTTTGTCAACCCGCTGAGTTAACGTTACTGTCATTAGCATCAAGCTAGCAAACAATGGTACATCCTCACGGTCGGACATAAAGTAATGACATTAACAAATAGCGGCGGGGCTTTTACTCACCACAACTGCAGAGGCTCCCAGCTTCATTTGAAACAAACTACATTATAGACGGTCCATTATTTATTAATCCCTCTGTGTGTTTATATATTTACTTTTTATCTGCTCCGTTGTCTTTGTAAAGTTAACATATCACGCCATCATTTTAAACTCAACACTTTCTGAATTTCTTTCAGATTAAAAGCCCCTTATAACCTCGGCTGAGAGAATCCCTCCATTTTTTAAATAGGCTTTTGTTGTGAAACATTTGTAGGAACTTGTTGTGGAGGATACAGTAGCTTGAATGTTTACGTACGGTGCTTCAAATGTAGCTCCTGCCATCTGCTGATGCTTTTAGGTGACTACAACAACATGTTGGCTGGCACATGAACAGACACAGTGACTCAAATAATAGGGAAAGTAATAAAAATAGGACAAGAATAACCTGATGACATCACACACGCCGTGAAAGATGACCGGGGAAAATTGGTGAGTACCATCGTGTAGTGTGTCATGTCTGTCGGCCAAGTCACAGCACGATTTTATGACTCCACAATCGTGTAATGTGACACAGTGACTTTCAGAACGGGCAGAAAGTGTAGTGTAGTGTGTACCAGGCATAATGCAAGTCCTCCTGAGTCTGACCTGTCTGTCAGAGAGTCCTCCTCCATCTATTGAGTTTTTACTGACGATCCTGCGGAATGTTTTAGACTCCACCATAGACAACAGCAGCATTTCTCCAACCACGTAGCGAGCCACAAGCTCCGTGGCTTCTTTCAGGCTGATAGCTTTAACATTATCTCTGTTATTAGAACCAAAAGACAGTCATTGCTGTTTCAGAGCTGAAGGACCAGCGTTCCTAGGGTGACCATATTTTGATTTTCAAAAAAGAGGACACTCGGCCCGGCCACGAGATACTCGTGAAACTCGCAGTTTACTCAAAGATGCCTTATAATTTTAATATATTTAAAGTTTATATATGTATGGATAGAAAATTCAGTTATATTACAAAATAATATCTCTCAAAGACAGAAATTTGGATAGGCTTCTCAGAGGTTACTCAACATGCTTTTAATGTGCCTAAAATAATAATCTTTTTACAAGTTTCAATTGTACAAAAATAAATATAAATGTGAAATAAATGTAAAATCTCTGGAATGAAATAATGATAGAAATAATGTCTCTTCTGTATTAGAAAAATCAACTTGTAAAATAATAGCTATCTTTTCACGTCTTACTGGACAATAAATAAATAATTAATAGGAAATAATGTTCTAAATAATACCTCTTCTGTATTAGAAAATCCAACTTTGAGGTCCCCGGCACCTTTATTAGACACAGAATCATGTGTGCCAGCTTTGCACACGGTGCACTCAGCCTCCCATATATCCCGACCGGGTCGGAACGGTAAGTTGGGAATTTTTTCTGCAGTTCATCTGTGAAGCTGCACTTGTGCTTTGGCATCTTGGAAGCTTAGAATAATGCTGCGCCGCGGGTAGTCTCGCCACCAGACAATCAGAGATCTCCGCCTTCTGATAGTCTGGGGACACTCCTTTCTAAATTGTGTTTAACACACCGGCGAAAACGGCCGGCAACAAAGCAACGCCTCTTGCATTTTTGAAAAGGACACGCCCTCCCGGAAATGTGCGCTCCTCCTTTTCTCGTCCGCAAGGAAACAAACACACAGAAAGCTTGAAAATGGATGCCAAGAGATTTAACTCCGTTTTATCAAATGTGTGCTCATCCGTGAAGAAAATATTTTTTCCAGCGGACGTAGTTACAACATGTTTGAGCTAACTGGAGTAGTTTAATGTCGTATCCGACAACGGGAGGCTTTTAGCAGATGACGTCCTGATGTTAGCTTTGCTGCTGCTGTTAGCTGTCCCTGTCAGCTGCAGCCACTGATGCTTTCTAGACATTGTGATTTCCTAAAACTGAATAAATACCACACATAGCAACACAAAACTGCTTTGCTAGCTCAATCATGTTGTAACTAAGATATCCGCTGGAAAAGATATTTTTTTCACGGACCGTTTAATGAGTTATTACCTATTACAGACACCACTAACGGCTAACAGGGCTAACAGCTAACGGTTAGCCCAGCTAAACATGCACACAGAAATAGTAATGTTTGTTCAATCATTGTGTTTATAGACTTTACAAACATCGGATTAGTCTAAACGGTGATACAGTGATGTGAAAAATGTGATATATAGGCTATATATATAGCTAAAAGCTCTGCTGGTTTTCTACCCGGAAGTATTTGTAAACAACAAGGCGATTCCCTCTAACGTTATAGTCCGGCCAGACGGATGAGTCATGGCCTTGTAAAAGATTATGTTTGTTTCTTTTAGTTGGCGAGAATGTGTCGCTGCAAACGCGACAAACATCCACTGAACTTTGACGGCGTTTTCTGCGAGCACGGCTGAGCCATTTTGTACCGCTACAAGTGTTTCTAGTGGGACTATGTTTATAAGCACAAGAGTTCAGCGAGCCACCGAAGGACCGCCCTGCAGATTTACTATTGGTTCTGCAATGTAGGGAGTTTTTTCAAACTCTGAAATTGTATCTGCCCATCTAAACACAAAATCAGGGAGAAAGTCATCAGTCTTTAGTTAAGCAAAGCGTCTAAAGACTGACTTGTGAGTCTACACCGCGGGTGTCTGCTGCTTCCTCGTTGTGAGTGTTGGAGATGCGAGATACGTGAAAAGTGGACATGTCCGGGCAAAAGAGGACGTTTGGTCAGCCAAGCGTTCTAAAAGTAACGGAAGTAACTGATGGCTTTGTTTGAAAATGTACTTAAATATTTGATTACTCAAACAGCAAACTAGCGCATTAGGTTACTCATTACTGCAAAAAGTAATCAAAGTACTCTATACCAACTCTGATTATGATTATTACACACAAACATTATTATCACTTTATAAGATATGTGTTCATTGTGATTGATTAATCACACTACAGTGCCATATACAGTATAACATTAAAATGCTACTTACTTAATGCATCAACAATAACAAATAAGTATTACTAAACACTGACAAAGGCCTGTCAGAAGTAGAACATGTAGTACATTTGCTGAGAAAACAAATGTGTTTAAAGAATATTTTGATTGCAGGGCTTTGACTTGCAGTACAGTACTGTTACATTGTGGTTTACATTTACAAGTAAAGGATCCTTTTACTTTATCAAATACCATTTTCACCTTTCAGTCATGTGTGATTTGGTTGCTGCAATGGTTCAGTTTTCTATTGGGATTAACAAAGTCTCTAGCTAACAAGATTTCATTCAGTCATTTGAATATACTGCAGTGTGTGTGTGTGTGTGTGTGTGTGTGTGTGTGTGTGTGTGTGTGTGTTTGCTAGGTGCTAGATTGCTCACCTGGCAGCTGCAACTCTGCTGCTATTTCCTTCCATGCTTCGTCCATCGTTACGCGATCATGGTAAGAGCTGGAGGACACATCATGCTGGCAAGGCTTCTGCTGCCACAACTCCACAAGGTTTTCCTCTTTGCTGGAATCCCACACATTTCTTTTGGCATGTTTCACCTCCCTGGCAAGCTGCTATCTGTTTGTTTCTGTATCTGTCTGTTTGTTTGGGTTTAGCGCCAGTGCGTCATTTTGTGCTGCATTTCTACTGGTTGGTTAGTAGATGTAGGCCGCAACAGCTGTCACACTGTGAGATGGTCATCCCAAATTTCTGACACTGTCAGAATTTCATCCCAGATTGTCTCCGATCGCAAAACCTTGACAATGGCCATCCTTGAAACAGGTGAAGATACAAGTGAACACAATCTATTGACAACCAGTGGTGGTTAAAGTGATAAGGTACTCAAGTACAGGTATTGTTACTTTGTAATTATATCAGGTACAACTTGGGTAAGGGTGAAATAGTATCTCCTAAAAAATACTCAAATAGTGAGTAACTTAATTCAATGCAATTGATTACATCATTTTTAATTGTCATTAAAATGCCGTACAGAACCAAATGAAATACGTGCTGTTAGGCACCATGTAATGGCTTAAAACAACAAGAAAAAAAACTCTATTTGCTTGGTATGACTGGCTAGTAGTTTTTTTTATTGCTTGCTGTCAGACAATGAGCTCAGCTAAATATAAAAACCATTTAAAACTAAATGTATCAGAAGTTAGATGTTACAGAGTGAAAGTACATTTTTCATCACTAATGTATTCAAGTAGGCCTAAGTATAAAAAGTACTCAGCAAAACAAAGTACCCTTAGAAGTACAATTTGTTTAAAAACAATTTACTCAAGTGCACATAACAGTGTTACTGTAATGTGTTACTACCAACACTACTGAAACATGAGGGGCATTTCTTCCTCCATAATGTGCTTGTATGTTTTAATGCATTTCTGTCATTTCCATCTACAGTATACCAGCAGCCTGTGGAGGAGCTTAATTATTCTGCTATAACGTGAACACAACATCAGGCTCTAAGAATAGCTGAATCTACATGTATCTACAATATAGAAGTGTGGCTTTAGACTGAAGCTACATTCTCATCAGCTAGAGTCAACCACCAGTGTCCTGACTGAGTTTAAAGATACACTAAGAATACATGTAGTGACACAGAATCACACACAGATTAACTTTTACCTGTCCAATTAACTTTCTTGGGATTCTGATGTGAGCTACATCAGTACCACTAAAGAAGAGTGTTTTAACCCAATCAGCAGAATAAATGTTGGCGTATATTTCTGCAAACCACAGATACGTTACATTTGTATGTTATTATGTAGCAGATACATTTAAACTTTATGTTTCTTTAATTTCAACAATGCTGTGATCAACATGTGGTTAGGTTGAGGCACAAAAACACTTGGTTATGGTTAGGAAAAGATCATATTTTGGCCTAAAATACCCAGTTTTGGGGGCACAATCCCTGCTGGAAAAGTAGCAGTATCTCAGTAAAAAACAGCTGTTTGTTGTGACACTATTCCCGCAGGATGTCTGAACAAAACAACTGCTTTTGTGGAACAGTCCCCGATGGAAAAACAGTAGGGGAGACGCTAGAAAACACCCATGTTTGCTGCCTAAAAAGCCACTTAAAACAAACAAGTTTTTTGGTGGTGTGGTGTGCAGTGGTCTGCATCCTGGCAGCGTCTTGCCCAGGTAACATGCCATCCACCATCTCCTCCATCTCCCAGTGACAAGGTCAGCTCTTATTCTATGTCACTTTAGAAACGTTGATATGATTTGCATGCAACGTAAAAATGCAACATATTCATGTTTTGCAGAAATGTACAACGGCAAAAAATTTTTGTGGCGACTTGGCTGTGGGTTTTCAGTGTATCCAAATACAACAGATCATATGATATCCTACAGATTAGCACCCCACAAATGACTAACCCAATTAAAGCAAATACATATTTAATGTTAAGTTATTTAGGCAAGGTTTATGCAAGTAATTTTACTGTGGCTAGGTTTAGGAAAAGAAACATGATGACATCATACCCTAAAATAACTCAAAGGTCACTCAAAGTTCACATGGTTCAGAACACTGATCTCCTGGAGAAAGTCTTGTGTATTGTGACCCATCCAACCACCATAACAACGTGCCCTAATGGGATCACTTTCTTCTTCACTTCTGTCAGAGCATTGGTCACATGATCAAAAATTTCCCAAACACATGGCTTACACACAAATTACTGGCTCATGATCACGTGGGATATGTACGAATTTTGGTGCCTTACTTTTCCTAAGAAATTGTACAAGCAGTGTATGAGAGCAGCTTGGGGTTTTCCTGTTCTTGCTCTGGCCTTTTCCAAGCACGGGATATGCCGTACAGGTGAATAATGCAGTCCATACACAGAAAGATTTCCAGAGTCCGTCTGTTATTGAAGTGACTAGAACACAAACAATGACTACACTGTCACAGCAAGTGGAATGTACACAGTAAACACCACAGTGCATTAGGTTATTCAACAGAAAACAGCTAGAAGAGACAGAAAGACACTGACAGTGATTCATTTCATCAAAGCAATCCTCTATACATGGTTTAAATGCCACGGTTTATTGATACAACACGATACTGATGCAGTGTGACCTCACTGGGTCAGGGGTTGTTGGGAGGTTGTCATGGGAACCTGGGTATTGATGGTGATTCGCTGCCTGGTTTGACATCGGATCATCCCTATGATGGCTCTTCTGAACCTGCAGGAAAAGATTATCCACTCACAGTTAAGTACAGCACACCATTTAAACACTAAAATAATAGAAATCCTCTCTCTACCACCACAACTGCAAGTAACAAGCACATCTGCACACACATCAACTGTTACCAAAGTGGAATGAGGAGAAAAACACTCACTTTTTGTTGGCAATAACATAAATGCAGGGGTTGTAAAAGGTGGAGGACTTGGCAAAGAGTGGAGCGATGATAGCCATGGGGGCAGGGATGGTTTTGGGGTCACCAAATGATGCCCAGAGACAAACCAAGGAGTATGGAGACCAGGCCACCAGGAACATGACGATCATTACTATGGACATCTGCCAGCAGAATATGGTAGTAAAGGAGAGAGTTAAATTAAAGGGATTGTTCCTTTTTTTTAGAAATGGGGTTGTATGGGGTATTTATGTAAAGACAGCATATTACAAACAGTAGATGTCAGTCAGCACAACTCCAGTTTGGAGAAGGAATTTTGACATTGAAGCTAAGTAATTACTGCTGTGGAGGGGGCAGCAACAAAACATATTTTAGACACCTAAAGTCCCACCTAAATAATTATCATTATCAGTTAAAGTGTATGGTATTGAGAGTCTTCTCACTGTTTTACCTTGATGTCAGACAGTGACTTCCAATGGGAAAATGAAGCCATTATATCGTGCTCTTCTTCGCCAGACTCCATCGAGGAAAAACAGTAATTTAACATCGCTGAAAACAGGTGCTGCTGCGCTACTGCTGGCTCAAGCGGTTATTTTGTTTGTGTTATTGTGTGACTTTGGCTTTTAAAAGGGCTAGTTTGGATTCACCACAGTCACGCAATAATAGAAACTAGCTAACTGATGGACACAGCCATAGACCAGCAGCTCCTGTGCTCAGTGAGCTAAAATTATTGTTTTTCTCAATGGAATCTGGTGGCTTTGACGGCAGCATAGATGGGGATCTAAAGCTGTTAATGGCTTCCCATCAAAACGGGCTGTCTGACAGAAAGGTAAAGTGATAATACTCTCAATATACTGTACATTTAAACTGATATTATTTTTTTTTTAGTTGGCTAAAATCTGTTTTATTGCTGACCCCTCCACAGCAGTGCATTGCTTAGCTTCTGTGTTGGACTCTGGTCATCTTCTCCGCGGGCGTGCTGACTTACATCTACTGTATGAGTACACTGACCGTGGAGAAGTACCTCATACATTCCTACTCCAACATTCAAACTATCACTTTAAGTGGATCGACATTAAGGTGATAAAAGGCATAATAAGACAGCCAATTTTGATGAAAGCTCAGATAATCTGCTATATCTGTTTTTCAGGTCAAGAAGACTCACATTAAGTTTTTATTATAGCCCAAGGTTTCCAAAGGCTTTGAGAGACAGTGACGGACTCAGGATGTTTGAAAGGCAGGGGCAGAAAGGAAAAAAGGGCACCTACTGCATGACATAGGGACAAGAGGGCAGCCAAAAGGGCAAATCCGCTCGTTTTCATCCAATAGGGCCATCGTCTTGTTGTCACCACTCAAGAGGGCAGCCAAATGGGCACATCCACTCATTTTTGTTAATCAAGAGGGCAGCCAAAAGGGCACATCCGCTCGTTTTCGCCACTCAAGAGGGCACTTTAACGCACCAACAGTGTAGCAAAAGCAGCAAATTGGTAGCAGGTGCAGCCCACTGCCTACTGGACCTGATGGATTGAACTGGATCTGTTAAGCCAAATACAGATGCACTCAGATGCCACATTTTTGTAGAGCTCACAGTCCAATATCCAAGCAATGAAAATGCAGTACATGCGTGAGATGGAACTAAGTAGAATTAGTGCCTAAAAAGACATTTCAGGCTACAGTTACACTGATAAAGTGTGGGTTGATACAAAGCCTTTTAAGTGACCATATTGATTAAAATTAGTTGGACACAGAGGACCAAAAATGTGCCGGTAATGTACCCGGTGGACACTGGATGTGTCAACATGTCATTCTAAATGCAATAAGACTTTGTTACATCATAGCATGCCATGGTTAGAGTGTACACCTGGAGCGTTTCACATGCAATGCGTGCAGGGAAAATACTTATTAATTATTTTTGACTAATAGCCATTTGAGTTATTGGATAACTTTGTTTAACCAAATATTAAAATTTAATTTAAAATGATGACCTATGCCAAAGCCACATCCCACTGCAAGTGGTACACTAACTCATCAGAGAAGGAGAAAGAAGAGTGAGTTTGATGGCTCTGTGGGGCTCAGTGTTCACCTTGGTGACATCCATCTGATCTGACCAGTCGATGTTGATGCTGTCCAGGCAGTTGCTGGCTTTGTATCTCTTTACAGTGACTGACACGTTGTAGTAGCAGTAAAACATGACGGACAGAGGCAACACAAAGTTCACAGCAATCACAGCCATAGTGTAAGAGATGAAGGAGCTGTGGAGGAAAAGCAGAGGTAGTTTAAGAGTCGTATCTTGGGCTGGCTGACTTTGAAAAAGAGTTTTAAATCCTAATCATTTACATTCAGTTCAAATTTTCCTTTTGCATTGGCTATATAATTAAATATAGACTTACCAAAGCAGGGCCAGGCTTACTAACTAATTACTTCTAGTAACTATTCATTAACTTGTTGCTGATGTTATTTGTGGGAGTTTTTATACATATATTTTATTTTATTTTATGCATTTAACCAGGAAGTCCTATTAAGATTGAAAATCTCTTTTACAAGAGAGACCTGGCTGTCTCATACTTGTGTTTGGCCATGTCGCTGAGCTAGTTTGCTGTCTCGGTTAAGTAGCTGTTCATTAGTCACTCACTCTAGAGCAGGAAACAGCACTTCAAAATAAAAGCTCTCTGCCAGAAATTCCCTGTATTTAGAAATAAAGTGTGTGTGGGTTGTTTTTGTTTTAAAGGGAAATTTCGGTTTATTTCAACCTGTCTCCTATCATCCTAAATTTGTTTCAAGTGACTAGTGACATAAAAATAATAGTTAGCATGTTAGCCGTTAGCCTAGATACAGCCGGGGCGCATAGTAGCGTCAGACCTGTTAAAACGTAAGTGAACAGGCAACCTTCAAGTGCAAAGTTAGTCCACTAAACAAGCTGTTTTTCCACAAAGACTGCCTCATATCGTTAGGATAAATGTCAGAGAACATATAGAAAACGACATGTAAACGTGTTGTCTTACCTTACCAGTGTGCTGCCATGTTTGTTTACCATTTAGCTCTGCTTTCCAAAGCGCGGCCGAAAACTCGCGAGAACAAGCAGCAACAGCTGGAAGGCAGAACCAGACAGTAGCCTGAAAAGTTCATTCATTTATTTTATGAAAGATTTATAGAATAATGGCTGACTTTTTGCCAGACTTCGACTTTGTGGAGGAGGAATTTGATTTTGCAGAGTTTGATGGCCGCCCTTATTTATTTGAGCCAGAATACACTGACGAAGAGCTTCGTGAAATTGAGGAGGAGAGAGAGAGGCGCAACAGGTAGAGGACGAGAGAGGAGGAATGGCTGCTGCAAGGCTGCGTAGCTCTGGAGATTGGTGGTGTACCGGTAGCTGTGAATGCTGTGCCCCAATGCCCACAGAAGAGGAATGCCTCTGTTGCAAGGAATGGGACCGGTTGCAGCCTTATTTTCAAGGTCTGGATGTGACCGAGGACGAGCCACCTCCACCTGGAGTAACGTTAGTATCCAGCTGGGCTTTATCTAGAGCTCGCGAGATATATTTCGGCCGCGCTTTGGAAAGCAGAGCTAAATGGTAAACAACAAACATGGCAGCACGCCGGTAAGGTAAGACAACACGTTTACATGTCGTTTTCTATATGTTCTCTGATATTTATCCTAACGATATGAGGTGGTCTTTGTGGAAAAAAAGCTTGTTTAGTGGACTAACTTTGCACTTGAAGGTATGCCCGTTCACTTGCGTTTTAACAGGTCTACTATGCGCCCCAGCTGTATCTAGGCTAACGGCTAATATGCTAACTATTATTTTTATGTAACTAGTCACTTGAAACAAATTTAGGACGATAGGAGACAGGTTGAAATAAACCGAAATTTCCCTTTAACAAACTTGACACATTTCAGTCACTTGTGGTCCATTCAGAATAGACCTGCGACCCACTTTTAGGACCTCTTGGGACCACAACACATCAGTTGGGAACCACTGATCTAGACACATAGAGAACATCTGGAATGTCTTTTTACAAAATTGATTGATCCATAAGTGAAAAATTTGACACTTAAAGATGTATTTTTGACATGCAATTGTGAAATCAAAAACACTTCATCTACCCTGATGGCAAACTATTGTCAAATTCTTTTTAATGAACACTGGAGCTTTACTTAGTGTGAATTTGCAGCAGCTGTTTACAGTTACACATTCTGATGCACTGTGGGCTCAATTTTTGATCAGTTGAAAATCTGTGTGATGCGTTTGTGTAGGACAGTCAGAAGATGCTGTATAGCAAGTTTAATGTGAATTGAGCAAAAAATGTGGAAGAAGATAGGTTTAATTTATTTTGCAGCTCCTGATAAAAACAGAGTGATTGAATTCACAGTTTGCACTAGGTTGGGGTGTACAAAAGTGCCTTCACAATTGGACCTGGTTTAGTGAGAGTTGCAAAGCCATGGGCCATACAGGTGATTTGTTATGGATTTTCAAAGTTTTGAACTTTAATCAGTAGCCGTAGCGCCACCATCAGGAAATATTGGCTCCCATTTCCCGTTGAGGAACTTTAGCATGGGACTGGACCTATGAGCCAAGTTTAGTTAGGGAAGTTAGATTTCCTCAGAAAGGGAAGGAGAAGGAGGAGAAGAAGAATATTGGCAAATATAATGAGGGACTTGCATAGTTGACTACACTATGACTGAAGGTCCCTGGTAATCAGATGAATGAAGGGCTTAAGCTAAGACATTCCTTACATATTTCAGCAGCGCAACGTGACACGGTAAATGTAGTAAAACAAACAAACAAAAACAAGGATGAAGGACATCCACTGCATATGGATAGTATAGACTGTCTTACTGAACCCAGGGGCAAATTGATACCACCAGTCACACTTACCAAACTTATTTTCTGTAATTTATCCCACAGGGGGATAAGAGCACAAACAGAACTTTGTAAGGTAGATGTAAACTTACGTTTATTTTACTGTTTTTGTTTTGTTGTTTGGATGGATCTTTTGGACCGTTTTTGACAAATTTATTATAAAATATAGTTTTCTGTTGTTTTTGGGTATGCTTTTATTTTGTGAGTATTTATTTGATAATCAGTATTGCTTGATTGTTTTTATAAATGAATAAATTGAGCCCTAAGAGAACTTAGTAATAATAGTTGTTACAATTTGATAACAGGATATTTCAGTCGCAGCACAATTAGTAGTGGCAGCAGTAGTATTTATTTTGTGATGATTTTCAAACAAAATGTTACAGCTACTGTCAAGTGTCAAGTATGCAACATGCATTTGCAGTCTATTGACAACTCACGCATCATTTTGCCTCCAGTTGATGGTACATGTAGCTCCAGTGGGGTCAGGGGCATAACCAGCCCACCCCACTATCGGCATGGAGGACCAGAACACAGCATTCAGCCACGCTGCCACAATAAGAAGGTTGTATGATTGCATCGTCATTTTCTGCCCTGGAGAGAGAAATTAAATCCACAATGAAGGTCACTAACATGATGATTCAGTGTGGAGATATTTGTCTCAGTACAATATTGTCATTGTGACTGTTATTGTTGTCAGAAAGGTTTATCCCATTAGGAACATGAAGGTGTTCAGTAAGTTCATGGCAGTGTGTCATTGTCATGTCATTTAATGTGTACAAGTAAAATCATAATCACAGTGAAGGTAATCGTTCAATCCACTATTTATTGTACATGTGCAACAGCTTGATACAGCATTTTTATTTTTATTGTTTTTTTATTATTATTATTCACATCATTTATTTCTGATTTTATAAATGATTATGTTGTCTGTCCGTTTTATTGACTAGTTGGCACCTGATCAGATTCAGCACTCCTGATCTTGTTGAATATTCCTTGTACAATGACAACAACAACTTTTTATTCTATTCTATTCTATTCTATTCATCTGTAGTTTCCTTTATGCCTTATACTTTTAAATAACATAGTTTTTCATCTTTAAGCTTGGAAGTATTGAATCATTTGTAAATTGAATTTGTGACTCAAGTCTGACTTGATACCAAGTCATGTGACTTGAGTCCACAACTCTGAAAATTAGGGTTTTGAAAAGTGAGGGGCACATGTCCCCCCCCCCATCTCCAATGGATATATGTGTATGAAGAGCAGAAGAGCAGTAAATAGATACCTATGTCTGGTCTGCAGATGGTGAGGTAGCGGTCGATGGCCACCACAGTCAGCAGGCCGATACTGGCCATGCCGAAGAAGATATTGAGAGCTGCATAGATCTGGAGACATAAACAAAAACCTTAATTAAATTAAATTTAAAAAAAAACAGTTAGTGATAATGGTCCTTTTATTCTAATTCTAATACTTCTAATAGGCCTTTATATCACTTGAATATCCACTAAATACTCTACTGTGCAATATACAGCCACCTGTGCAATATTATGCTGTCTGTACAATATTCCTGTGTTTTTTTTCACTGTTGCATATAATATACTGGGTTCTACTGGTTTTATCCTTCACTTCTACTGGGACTCACGGATGTAGCTTGCAACGATAGTGTAAATCTGTATACTAGTGAAATTTGTTTTGTATATTTCTTATTTATAGTTTTTTTCAACTTGTTTCTATAGCTGCCTTGTTTTAACTTATACCTGTATTGCACTGAATCTGAGAGCTGCTACCTCAATTTCGTTGTACTCGTACAATGACAATAAAGAGATTCTGATTCTGATATGTCCTTGAGGTTTACTGGTTCAAAGTAGTTGAATTTTGACACATAAAGATAGTTAAAAAAAAAAAAACACGACAAACATCATGTCTGGTATCATGTTCAAATTCACATTAACCCATACAATTCTATATCAGCCAGGGGCTAAAAAGAGGCACACCAGGCCGACCTACCCAGGATGTTAACTGATTTTTAAGTTGAAGGAAATGCTGTAGTGTTTTAATATTTGAACATGCTCCAATTACTTTAAATAAAGCCATTGGTTTCCAAGTATTTTAACTAGGGCAGCAACCAATAATTATTTTCATTATCAATTAACCTGCAGATTGCTTCAGATTAACCAAGAACATACTAGGTGAAAAAAATTGTTTGAAATCTTGGATAAATTGTGAAAAAATGCCCATCTTAAATTTCCCAGGGCCCAAAGTGACATTTTCAAATTTGCCTAATCAAAAGTCAAAAACACAAAGGTATTAAAATTATGATGATTTATGATGAAGGAAAGCAATGTCTCCCCATATTTAAGAAGCTAGAACCAGAGAATGTTTAACAATTTTCCTTGGAAAAATAAGCCAATAAATAAACAATGAATCGATGTTAATTATCATTCCTTTTTTCTATTTTTCATCAAAGCCACCATGTTTGTTTGTGTTTTTTGGCAAAGTTACAGTATTATTGCATAGAAATTAAAAATGTTTTGCTCTGCAACACGCAACAATATCAAAATGATACATACTGACACAGAACTCTGGCAACAGTGAATGCCGATTAGTGAATTCACTGGTGGAAAACCAAACTTGAACAAGTCTCAGGTTTCCGATCCTTGATTTCACAGTGCACTAAAGTAAACCAATGGCTGCCTGGAAGATTGGATAACATATCCAACAACCCACGAGTCTATTGAATGCCTATGGTTAGCAGTATTATTGTAAAGTGTACCTGATTTTCGGTGGATGGATAAAATTCTTGTGTCGTTTTTGTTTTGAGAAAGCTGTCAATGATCAGCACTATATGACCCAGTGGAGGGCAGTATTTTGACTGAACAGATGTGAATAGATAACATTCTCACTCAGACCTTGTCACATATCGACATTTGGCCACTTGACTTTTCACATCGATGTATGACGTGCAAGGTACCCTGGGTGTGTTTGTTGCTGATGTTCTGGGAAGCTCTGTTCTGTGTCAACTTCAGCCTGTTACATGCAGTCTGTTTTCAAAATACACTTGAGTTCTCAAAGGAAATGTACAGTTTGCATACAGTCTCTTTCAAAATAAAAGCACTATGTTGGTTCAACACTAGCCTCGCGTCACCAGGCTCTTCACGTAAGGCTCTGAAGAGGTAAGGTGAAGAGCCTGGTTTCTATTCACTCTGAATTTTGTCTGGATTCTGGTTCCGGTCTAGAGAGCGGATGCTGAATTCACCAAATTCACCAAAGTAAAAGTGTTCACCAAAGTAAAACTTTGGCGCACCATCGATTTGGGGTGATGAGGGGTGTAAGAAAATCTATTAACTTAATGGCTTGGGGCTTTTCTTGTAAATTATATTCTTTAAATTAAAAAGTTTCACCGCATTTTTATTAGCTTGGTGCTTTTATTTTGATGGAAAGGCACATCCATCGAATTCCGGATCCTCTCTCACTCGCCCTGGTTCCAGTTCCTTACCAAAACAGCCACTAACGGCCCCAGACTAGTTCAACACAGCAAATTGTTTTTTGTCCTTAAAAAACAAATGATTGGCCAACACCAACACATAGTTGGGTTGAGGCAACAAAAGCATGTGGTTAGGTTTAAAAAAAAAAAAAAAAACAGAGCAGGGTTTGGCCTCCCAGGTGGAAGTCAGTGGTTGTTGGACCCATCCACCAACCCTTGCACGGCTTTTTTTGTCAGAGTCTGACAGCAGAAGTCACTGCCCTAGCGCTGGTATTCAAGGACTTCAGTGTGAGACCTGGTTGGATAATCGCAAAGATTTTTTTGATGTGATGTGCCACATGTACAGTTTTCACTAAAAAGAAGTGTGAAAACATTTTTGAAAAAAAAAAGTTAGCACAGTTACACAGTAGGTACTGCATAGGGAACCCCCCTGCCTAGTTCAAAGATTTGATTCTGGATTTCCCAGCCCTGCTTCTCTTTGTAGACCAGTATCATATGGCTCAGTACTGCTGTGCAATAACAAGACCCGAGGAAAAACATAATCTGCCAAAAGAATCCAAACACGCGGCCTGCTGCAGTGCAGCAGCTGAAATAAACGTGCTTCAGCCTCACAGGTTGATTCTCATGGCCAGCTCACAACAAATCATGTTAGTTAGTGTGACATATAAAAGGTTGAAAACATGATGACATGGGAACTTCAAGGTTTGTGAATTTTCTGACCGGGTCTAAGGAATAATTCCTTTATATTTGCATACATTTTGGAGGAATGTGTAAAATACATTCTTCTCAAATAGCCCAGCATTTCACTGAGCAAAGGAGGGAGCTAAATCCAACTTCATAGGTCTGGCAGTTCACACAAACTTTTCATATACTTTTCTACGAAACGCAATCCCACGTATTTTGATTCCACTTTTTCTAAACCTAACCTCACTAACTTTGGTTGCCTAATCCTAACCTCAGTAACTTTGCCTTAATTGTGTAACTGTAAGTTGATGACGTAACATCATGTAACGAGGCACAAATTTCTAGGATATCAAAAGAACTGTTGTACATGCATTTTTCATAGAATAAGGTTCACAAAAAAAACAGACTTTCACCCGGGACTTTTCCCTGGAGTTGCATGTTTGAATCCTTGTGAACTTTGAGTCATTTTCGGGTATGTCCTCACGATGTTTCTTTTCCTAAACCTAACCACAGTAACTTTTATTGCATAACCCTAACCTCTATAACTTTATGTTAATTATGTAAGTGTACATTAAGAATGTAATGTCATTCATGAGGTGCAAATTTGTAGGATATCACACAAACTGTTGGGCGTGCATTTTTCATAGGATGTCATAAGAACCATTCTATGACCGTATGTTGCATGGGTTGACATACAACACAGTCTCACAGAAATGCATGAAATGGACATGAACTCTTAACAATGCATTACATAGTGGTGGGCATAAAATCATGTGCTGGCGACACAAAAGCAATGCCAATGAAAAGCCTAATACAAATGATAGAAGTTTCATCTTGATATTCCATGTGTAACACTGCTTAAGCACTTCCGTAAACACAGTAAACCAGTCTACAAACGTTACCTACGCATTGCACAGTACATACCAGCCATATAGGATGGGTCCTTGAAGGTGGATAAAAAACAATTAGTATTAGGAGTTTTCAGTGTAGATGTAGGTTGTTCTATCAGTGAAATAATGTATATCTGATGGCACTCATATTCCACCCACCTGACAACCAGTGTAGCCAAATTTCCAGCTACCGTGGATGTCTGAGGCAGCTGACATGGGATAGCCGATCCCAGCCACTCCAATGTCAGTAAAAGCAAGGTTTATGATGATAAAGTTGGTGGCAGTGCGCAGCTCCTTAAACTTTGCAAACATTAGCAGCACCACAATGTTGCTTGCTAAACTTATGACACCTGAAAAGAGAAAAGAAGACATGGTGTGAAGTTCCACAGTGTGGCAGCTGATAGTCAAAGTTGCAACACCTAATCCTATATTTATTCAGTCACAGTGACTGAAGAGTAAAGAAAAAAACACCAGCTGCATTTCTTCTGGTGGCTCCAAGGCTGTATTCAAGTTGAGTCAATAACTCTCATCCATCCATCCATCCATCCATCCTTCAATCCTTCCTTCAATCCATCCATCCATCCATCCATCCATCCATCCATCCATCCATCCATTTTCATCCACTTATTCGGGGCTTGGCCACGGGTACAGCAAGCTGAGCAAAGTATGCCAGACATCCCTTCCCCAAGCAACATTTTTCAACTCCTTCTGAGGAATTCCAAGGTGTTGCCAGGCCAGATGAGATATATAATCCCTCCAGTGTGTTCTGGGTCTACCCTGGGGTCTCCTCCTAGTTGGTTGTGCCTGGAAAATCTCTAACGGGAAGCACTCAGGAAACATCTTGATCAGATGCCCGAGTGTGTCTCTAGTGTCTCTACTCCAAGATCACTATGGATGTCTAAGCCCCTCCCATTCCCTAAAGCTTAGTCCAGCCAGGAGGATATTTAATTTTGTTTGCTTATATCTGCAATCTCATTCTTTCATTCATTACCCATAGCTCATGCCCATAGGTGAGGGCTGGGACATAGATGGACCAGTAAATCGAGAGCTTTGCCTTCCAATTCAGCTCCTTCATCCCCATGATGTTTCAGTGCAAAGATTACATCACTGCTGATGCTGCATCAGTCCGCCTGTCATTGTCACGCTCCATTATAACCTCACTCATAAACACATCTTCTGAAAATAGCAGTGATGCAATTGCTATAAAATTCAGGTTCGAAAGACTTATTTAGAAAGAAAAAGGCCATGATCACTACAAGATGGATGGAACTATGACAGAGAATACAACAACAACTGGTAATGCTCATCAAGAAAACAAGTCGATACAAAATACAGTGTGATCTTATCCCTACTCATCATATTTTGATGCTTCATAAACCCCTTGTGTCATTATGATGATGCCCTAGGCTACCATTTGTATTGAATATTGATGCACATGGGTCAGCTATCTTGAAGCAGAGGGGGTCAGCAGTAAGTCATTTGAGTTTACTCACATGACTAAGAAGGGGTATAGGCAGTTAGATTTAGGCAACAATACTACTCGGTTAGGGTTATGAAAACATTGTGGTTAAAGATAGTCACCTGAGTCGACTCATATGACTAATGACTGACATGACGAAAGAACTCAATGTTGATTCTTAGTTTCATACATTACACAAACACAGGTCTCCAAAAAAGTCCTTTCATTTGTTGGGTCCATCTACTTCCCCTCCCACCTGTCCTAAGTGGACTTTTACGCTCTTTGTATGATATCCGTTGCTCTCAACATCTAATAATGACATGGGTGGGTTTGCATTGGAGTAGGTTGAAAGCCTTGTGCGTCTTCTACAGACACTAAAGGACCCATGGGCGTCGCTCTGGGAGTGAGACTATGTTGCAAAAACAGGAAGAGGCCAATCTTGTTTTCAGTGAAATAACTTTGGCTTCCAAAAGGGTTCATGATAGTAAACATTTTGGAACCACTGCACTGAAGTTTTTAGAAATGTTAACAGGTTATAATTCATATTTATTTTTGGGCACCACAGCAGTTCAGTGGTTAGCATTGTTGCCTCACAGCAAGAGGGTTCCTGGTTTGAACCTGGGGTGGGGGAGCATTTGTGCGGAGTTTGCATGTTCTCCCTGTGTCAGCATAGGTTTTCTCGGGATTCTCCGGCTTCCTCCCACAATTCAAAGACACGCGGGTTAGGTTAATTGGTGACTCTAAATTGGCTGTAGGTGTGAATGTGAGTGTAAATGTTTGTCTGCCTATGTATTAGCCCTGTGATAGTCTGCCGACCTGTCCAGGGTGTACCCTGCCTCCTGCCCAATGTCAGCTGGGATAGGCTCCAGCCCCCCCATGCTACCCTAAACAGGATAAGTGATTAAGGAAAATGAATGAATAGGCTAATTTATATTACACTGTTGACCTAAGAGAAATACAAATTACAAATTCAGAAACCAAAAAAAAAACATCTGAAACAGAATACAGTGCCAAGACCTGGATAAGTTACATAATGCTATCAGAACAGTTTTTCGAAAAACAACAATGGACTAATGTCTTTTTTTGATACAACCATGTTTCTCTACCCCTGTCCCGTGTGTTCACTGTTTTTTGAAACTAATAAAAAACAGTTAACAGAAATACACTGCTACTCCTACTAACATCAAATACAATAAACGGCACCAAATCTCTCCGGAGACAGTGTATAGCTACATATATAGCTGTATATGTATAGCTAGGCAGCAGTATGTTTGGGAAAGACAGCCTGTAGTAGAATAAATTCCCAAATGGGAAATGCAGCAGTAAGTTTTGATAAGATCCCTTAACAATCACTGTTATTCTTTGTCATGAATGTTCTGAAATTGTTACACAACCACAATTGAAACTTACACAACACTGCAACAATACAACTTTCATCATTCATCATCTATCTGTTGGTGGTCTTCTCTTTGTTACCTGCAGTAATTAGATATCCAGCCACTATGTTGTGCTCCAGTTGGGTAAAGGCACTTTCCCCTCCATAAGGTACAACATCATCTGAAATATTGACTCCAGAGTCAATCCCCATTTTCTGAGGTATTAGAAAAAGACAAATGAAAAAGATCCTTAATTAAAGCAAACAGTCTACCCAACAGTCTAGGAAGGAAAAATATACAGATAGGTAATAAAAACTACAAAATCCAAACAAAAGAGATGCAGAGAATCAGTGCTGCAAAATGCTTGTTCTAACTAAGATCTGTATGGTGTTGTTGTGGAGAGGTGGGGGGTAAGGGTGGAGGGATGGGGTGAAGGGGATTATTACATACCACTACCCCCCTGTTCCCTGTTAGCAGGAGGCAGTAGGCAGCCGGGCTGCTCATGAGAGGATTACCACTCACGTGGAGTTGCTTGCAAGTTGACCTCTGGCCAGTAAGCTTTGACATTACAAAAATGAAGTTGAGTTAATGCCTGAGCCTCAAACCGAGAACCATTCAGGTAATAGTTGGTACATGCTGTAGGTACAACCAAGGATGGATTACCTGCTGGCAAAGAAGGCACCTGCTCCAGGAACCCAGGGACCCTTAAGGACCCAGGGACCCTCAGGTCCCCCAAGAATAAGGTGACCAGATTTCTGAAATGAAAGGATATTTCCAGTTATATATCATTAAAATATCAAATGTTATTAACTATGAAAAAGAAGGACAATTAGTTTCATTTCACCATGGTATGTTGCACTGTAATAAACTATAGCGCAGGGTGACTAATAATATCAGGAACTATGGGCACATAATTATGTTTTAAAATGGAGGCGCAAACTTGGAAAGAAAGATAGATGGTGGGGTTGTGGGGGTGCTCCCTTCAAAAAAATGTAGTTTAAAACAAATTTCCTGCATTTCTACCAGGGATAATATTGGCATTACATTGGTATCAGCCGATATTGGCTTTAAAACAAATAAAGAATCGGTCAACAAGCTTTTTCTTATTTTGCACAATAAATGAATATTACATACACTGAAATGCATTCTGTTTGATGTCTCCATCTGCTGGTGGGCCATCACAATAAGAGTATGCATAATATGATGTTAATTCCACTAGAGAAGAGACTTGATGATCACTAAAATTAGATGGGCAAAAAAGTGGATATGTCGATATCAGTATTGGTTATAGGCCATGTTGGGTATGTTGGGTATTGGCAAAAATCCAGTATTGTGAATCCCTAATTTCGACACCACCTGCACTAGTCTAGATTATTAGATTGAGGGTGTAGATGACAGCATAATAACTGGGTGGACCCTGTAAAAAAAATGAGGGAATAATCATAATAATCAGGAGTGGACTTTACCATGAGGTTCCCAACTATTACGGCCAATTGTTCTATTATGATGTTAAGTTATTTCAGATACTGGATCGTGTTACTATTTTAGCTCATTATAGCCCAAGATAACTTAATAAAGCTCCCTAAAAAAACAATTTCGTACTTAAGAGGAAAACATTATACCACTACATTTACCTGACAGATTCAGATTTTCACTCTCAAATTATAACAATTAAAATATGATGCATAATTTTTTTTTAAATCAATAGTGCTGATATTGGGCCCACCTCTCCTTACTGCAGGACTATGACTTTAACTTGCTGTGTGCTATTAATAGTTTTTCTTGAGAAAATTTTTTTGAGTAGGCCCACTTCTTCTACAGCTGCCAACAGCCTATCAACATCCCCAGTTACAGAACGGGTGGAAATAAAGCAAGGCAGTTTGTCTGAGGCTCAGACCCCCAAAACACTAAATCCGCCCCTGATAATAGTAATAAAAGCACAGTGCAGAGTGATTACACCAAAAATGGAGACTACCCAGGAAAAATGGGTATGTCTGTTCACCCTACCCAAGAACCCAGATTCACTCTGTGCTTGATTAATGATACAAAGTTTAATGGAATCTGTATGCTGCCTAACTGAGAGGCCATGTCCTGCAGAGGGGGTCAAAATCTAGGTTTAAAGAATGATAATAACACCCAAAAAATGATTGTTTGAGCAGTAAACAGCTACTGCTACTACTGTACTACTGCTACTTCTCATCTGTCTCACAAAAATACAACATGTCTTGTCATTTAATCAACAGTTGAGCAGGTAATGTGTAATGGGAAGCCCCAGAATGTCTCAGTGCTCTGTCCAGGGAATGAAACCAGAAGATGGGGCTCCATCTGACACGTTAGAAAATAAACTGATAGAAACTCATTACGACAGCAGATTGGTGAAGATGTGGGCAACATATATTGGTGATCTGCTCTCATTTTCACATTTATAGAGGCAGGGGAGGGTTTCTGGCCCAATTTCACCTACCTCCAAGGTGCATGGAGAAGGGAGATAAATCAGATGTGTCAAAAGTCCAGCAACACTTGTATAAATTATAACAACTTTACAAGACCAATACGTTTCAGTTTGTGGCCTTTGATTTATCTCACTTTTCCATTCACCTTGGAAGTTGGTGAAGTTGTGCCAGAAACCCTCACTTTGCCTCTGCAATGTTCTGTGACAACAGTATATCAACATTATCCATTCTCTCACTGCTAGCAACAATGGCATCTGAGGAGCATCTGCTTTCTGTGATTTCAACCCCACAGAGGGTTTAAGGACCACTTCACTGTTTGAGCATAATGTCAGTTATGAAACTATGGATCCCCTGAAAAAAAACATTTTCAAAGCAGAAGATGCTTCGAAACAAGTGACATGTACCTTGTCAGAGCACATCAGAAAATCAGATCCCATGAGGCCTACAAATCAAACTGCGCATTCTTCACTGCATGGCGGATGACCCTGATAAAGGTCACGAGGCCACAACTGAGGCAATAATTCATAACACTTAACTGACAGAAAAGGATAGGCCTACTTTGAACTTTGGCGCATGGTGTTACCGCTGAATATACTCTTGCTATAAAGTTGTTCTAAATACTTAAACTGTTCCTGGAGTTTGGCATCTCTCATTTTCACACTGAGTAGAATCTGAGCAGGAAAGTTGATCTGCCTACAGCATTAATTACTGTTCCATTTTACACACATTTTTCACATTATTTATCATCTTTGGTTGGTGTTTCAGTTGCTTGGCTTCAACAGTGGTCAGAAGACCTCCTTAAATCATTTAGCCTGGCTGGTAACCATTAAGTGATGCTGGCAGAAACAAGAGATTTATTCCTCTTTTGTGGCAGTAAACACAACACATGAGCCCAATGATAAGTGTGCTATATTCCAACCTTCACTAGATGGTTAGGGGCTGATGAACAGTAACATGAACAGCTCTAACAGCAGGGCTACAACTATCACATATAAAGCCTTATTAGATTAATATTTCTGCAACATTGTGTACATAGCATTATCCTGTTGTAGCTCTTTCAGGTGGAGCTATCTTAATGCTTCTTAGTATATTATATTTAGTAGCTTAGTCCAATAGTTCCAAACCTAGGGGTTTAGATCCATCCTACAGGTCACAAGATAAATGTGAGGGGTCATGAGATGATTAATGGGAGAGGAAAAAAGAAAGTTCCAATATACAAATCTGTTTTTTCATTTTGGGGATATTTTTTTCTAGTCTTTATTTTTTGTGTAATAATGGATCATTTTACCTCTTTGGTCCTTGAAAAGCTGTTTAAATGAAACCATGTGTGGTGGAGTGCACCTTTAATGCAGTGTGTGTAAGCATATAGGACTAGTGAATGCAGCCCCAGGCCTGCCTCCTCCCCAAACCACACCTCTAATCAGTGCAAGATTATATAAGGCACTTGGTGGCTGGATTCATTCTTTTGGCTCCTGTCCTCTTCCCTGCTGTCGTCGCTTGTTTAACAGGTATGTAAACTTCCCTTGGACAAGTTGGCTCTTTTAACCCTGTGTACTCAGTTGCTTGCTTTTTGTTTTCAGCTTTGACCTGAGCACAGTGCATGTGGAAACCCTGCTGTCTTGCCTATCTGAATGATCTTGTGTTAATGCCCCATGTCAGAGGTGGTAAGTAGGGTTTCAACACAAACATTGTAGTATACAGCATAGTGAGCCCTGTTTAATTTGTCTTCCCTTTTTGTTGGTTAACCCACTCCTGTTTCTTTTGTTTTGCCCTTGTTTTGTCCTTTTTATTTAGCCTTATAGTTGATTTGCTGGAATTGTGCTTATTTTGCTAATATTATTAAACTAATTGAATTAATAATTTTTGTAATTTTTCTTTAATTGAAGCAGAGTGCCATCTTGTTGGGAGGCGAGGTACCTATGGTGTGGTCCTTACACTTTATGCGAGTAAGAGCACCGGGACACTAATGTAGCATTGCACCATTTGGCCATGAGTAGAGTTGTGTTGCACCTGAGGTGAGTAGGTGGTGCCACCCCTGGGCACTCAGTCTGCCTCTCCACAAGTGGCCTCTACTTACTTTACTTAGTTTTTGTTTAGTTTAGCATGTTTGGACTGAAAATGTTATCTATCTTGTGGTTTTACATTTTGCATTAAGACACTTTAAGCTAATTGTATTTATCATTGTATCTAATTCCCTCTTATTGGTATTCGTGTTGATCTGATGTTTTCTTTTTTCTCAGCAGCTCCAGTCCCTGCCTATCTGCTTACTTTTGACAAATCTAATAAAACATTTGGTTTATTTTGACTTCATGTCTCTGTCCTTGTTTCAGTAACTAGTCTGTGTGCCCTATCCCCAATTTTCCACTGAGTTTAAGGTTCCTGGAAAGTGTTTTCCTGGGGTGTAATTCCCACAGATGGCTTTTTGTCACTTTTTTGTTTTTCCCAACTTCATGCCTTAGCCACATGTAGTAATTTCAGAGGGGAATGTATCTTTAAAACTGCTAGCAACTCAAAGGCATCTAATACATGGCACAGCACTGATTTTTAGAGGACACAAGTCAAATGACGTTTCACAAGGTTATTTTTATTTGTTTTAAATTGCCTTGAGTTTTTTATATAAAATCTTAATAGTAACTCCAATAGAAAATATTTGTCTAATAGGCTATAGTGCAGGTAAAAAAAAGTCATTATTTCCTCTTAAAATGTATTGTAAGTATAATAAAGTAAGATAATATATACATTAAGTACCTCCATTTTATTTTAGTAAATGTACTCTATCTATGGAGAAGACCAATGATGATGACCAATGTTTCTGACAATAATGGATCCCTCCATGTATGTCAACATCCGGGACAGTAGGTGGCACTAACGCGACCCGCTAGTCATTTCCGGTGAGAAGAGAAATGACCTTTCCATTGAAGCACTTCCTCTTCAATCCATACCAGCTTCTTCACCTGAGAGGACATCGTTTCGCCGTAGCAGACAAACATGCCGGGGCTCCTGAGAACCATCGCCAGCCGTGCTGCCCCTGTCCTGCGGGGACACACCATTGCCCAGAGGGCTAACCTCTACACCGCCCCAGCCAAGGAGAAGGTCGGCGCAGTGGTAAGTCTGCTGTTAATGACTATGGGCTCATGCTAACTGCTAGCTAGTTAGCAGCTGTTAGCTTAGCTGTCCTTGGCTGATGAGGTCAAAATAGTTGATCTAAAAGGCAGCGAGCAGTGTTAAACATGTATTTCTTAAATGCTAACGTATCCAATAAAGTGAATTAAAACGTGCTTGTCCGGTGAAGTATTTAAGTCATTCTCATAATTTCCACACTAACGGTTTCCTTTCCTTCACGGAGTTAACGCTAGGCCCAAGCTAACACAGTAAGTTAATGCTATCTTAAGTCATGTCTCTGCGCGGTCAGGCTTGTCTCAAAGTATCGTCGAACTGTTAAGAGTACTTTAAATGTAATGACGATAATTACAGGAACAGTTACACATTTGGTACTAAACCCGAGCGACTTTTGAAGTTGTTATTCGCAATGCAAGTTAACCAGTAACCTTTCAAACACTAGTGTGCAAGACCTGTTTGACCCACCACAGTCTTCACACACAAATCTGGAATGCTGTGTTTCTCTATTTTCCCAATCAATATGCACTCAGCTGTATCCTTGTTGCCTAAATAAAACTTGTATGCTATTTTAAATATTGGGAGCATGGTTACAACTCTTTTTGTATGGAGGTCTGTGGGGGCCGCCGGTAGACAGTACCCTTGTGTTTTAAGGCTTATAAAATACACCTGAACTCGGGAATGTGTAGGATATTACAACAGACCTAACACGTTATGTCACACCGTCTGCCGTGGCTGGAAATGCTGTCTTAACTGATGTCAGTGAGGACGGTGCTTTACTGTCCACGGGACGCAGTGTTGTGATAATGTGATTGTGCTACTGATCGAAACGGTATTGATTTATGTCGATGATGACCCGATGTTTTACTGTCCAGAGACCCCGCACTGATGAAAACATTTACATCGGCAGCCGCCATTTTCTTACTGTACATAACCATAGCGTATGTCTTGCACAAGAGAAGTTTTGTTTTTTTTTCCCCGTTTTGTTCATAGTATCAATAAGCGATAAGAAAACAAAGATTCTTCTCAGAATGAATGAGAATCAGCATTTCTCATAACAAACTATTAAATTGGTGCAGTATCTTATTGAATTATGCATTATCCATAAAAAAAATCTTTCTATATGACTATCACAGATCACAATCATATCACACCTGAATGACCTTACACAGGGTAGATGATTTTGATGTTCTTAAACTCAACTCAACTTGTTACATTTGAGCATGTTTTGTATGTTTACTTACAGATGCATGAAAAGTGGTTTGGTGAATAAAGTTTTTAGATTAAGGATATTTAACTTTCAGATACATTTTCATCATATATGAATACATCCATAATAATTAGAACCACATATCATCAAACACCAGTTTTTAACATTAAATTGTGAAAACTCACTCAATCAGTACATTTACATGCACAGTTAAGTCAGGCTATGGTTATAGCTCCACTAGGTCATTTAATTGGACTACTGTCCTTGTCCCAGTATACAAGCGAGGGAGGGGAATCGGTTTATTGATCCAAGTATCTCTGACTCCACTATAATAGGCAGAGATATGCCCCCTTTCAGCATGTTAGTATTGGAGTACGTCCCAAGTCTCTTATTTTACACTGCTAACTCCTGACTTGAACCGGAAGTCGTTCGAGCTCCGCCATCTTTAAGGCCGTCTCATGTCTCTTATTCCTGCCCGTAAGGAGTTAGCGTTAGGCGTTAGGAGGGATCTGTTAGGTGCAATGAGTAAGGTAACACGAGAGGTTCCTAACAGGAAGTCTTTTTCAGCTTGAGGCCATGACGTATAAATACCCACCCCCTACGTCTGTCTCATTTGAACAAGATGGCGGAGAAACGGCGCAAGTGTAACCGTTACATGCATTCTTTGCAATGAATGGTTACGGCTTTGATCAGCGAATATAATGTGACTTGGGATGTACGCCAAACGCTGGCTCCGTTATGCAGCAGATCCAGCTGTGCCGCCGTCATCAGAAAAGGACGTCGCTTTACGTGACGCTTCAGAGTAAGGCCGTCTCATGTCTCTTATCAGCAATCCTCGCTCCTCACTCCTAACTCCTGACTCCTTAAATGTTTTCCTAAGTGGGAGGGACTAAACAGTTAGGTAAGGTGGCTAGGTTAGGTGGTTAGCAGTAATTTTAAGGGACTTGGGACATACCCTAGGTCATTTAATTGGACTACTGTCCTTGTCCCAGTATACAAGCGAGGGAGGGGAATCGGTTTATTGATCCAGGTATCTCTGACTCCACTATTATAGGCAGAGATACGCCCCCTTCCAGCATGTTAGTATTGGACCTTTTTCAGGTTGACATATTATGTCACAGGCCAAACAATCAAGCGTGGTCCAGCTCTTCCACCACTTTTTCAAACAGGTCGCCATTCCGTGTTTTCCTCCCATCCTTGTATTTCAAAACTCTTTCAGCTGACATAGCATGAGCTCTCCTCGTCTGGCAAAAAATGCATGGCTCTGGATGTAGTTTTCGCAATGTTGTCACCAGCTTCTTCTTTTTACGTATTTAATGCTATCCGACTTCCGGGTCAAAGTCCAGGGTGGAAACTGTGGAGCATGCACAGAGCACCTGCGTCAGTTTGGATCCGATTGACTGTATACATGCAGGAGTAATTCGACTCCCAATCGCATTATCTGGGTGTGTTAGTCTGACTTATAGAAATTCAATTTAGTACAATTTCGGTCAGAACAACGTGTCAGGATTTAGTGGGACTAACACAATAAATTAATAACTTTTCTCTAATGTCATGTAAGTGAGTGAAAACCTATCAACATCAGTGCATTTCACTATTTTCTTTTTTTTTTTTTTTAAATCGGTGTGCATAGGCTATTCATGATCTGGGGTGTACGTTCACATCACAAACCTAAAGCAGAAAGGCATTAAAACTGTAAACTTAATTTGTTTTTTAATATTTCGCAAGGCATAAAGTTATTGCGATGTTTAACAGCATTATGGCTTATCACACATTTTCCTGATATCATGCAGCCCTAATACAGAGTATCCAATAACATTCTATAGCTACAGATAATGATCAAGTTTAGGTCCTCTGCTTTGGATGAAAGACCAGTGGGACTGCATACATAGCTGGATGACACTATGCCACTATCAGCATATTTAAAAGGAAAAAACAATGAGAAAAATTTGGGCGGGCAGTGTAAATATATTCTCTACATAGAAAAAAAAGAGAACATTGCTCCCCCCAAAAAAACGGATGTGAATATCAACTTCAGATTTGTTCAGCAGTTTAAACACAGCCTTTGACACACTTTACAGGGTGTATTTAATGCATCCTGTTTTCTGTAGCAGTGAAGATGCTGATTGGCTGTCAGCTGACTGAATCCTCTGTCTTTTGTCAGGAATCTACCGTTGCTCTCGGCTTTTTCTCCCTGGCCATCCTGGGACCATCTGGATGGATCCTGGCCCACTTAGAGGACTACAAGAAGAAGGATGAATAAAGTGGACATTTTAACAGCCTGGTACATCCTGCATCTCCTGTCTCCAGTGACAACCTGGGACCATCATCATCATGCTTTGCTGCAGAGAAGAATATGGAACAAGTTTACCTTCTCTCTTCTACCTCTCTGACAGTTCCACTCCACTTCCCAGATAGAAACCAACTGTTACAAAATGCTCACTCTGATACATTAATTATTGTGTTGCACCTCTTTCCTCTTAACAGTATGATACAAGATTAAATTTTAAACATGACTATGTTGCTTGCTGTGTATGTTTTATGTGTGCTTTGGATAAGGCTTTTAATTTACAACATTTGAAGATTTGTTACAGCGTTTCATGCTGCCAGATTTCTGTTAAACAGGTTCCACTGGTTTTTAGAAAAAGATCAGCGAATATTTGCTGCAGGTAAACCACACCCTCTAGATAAAACAAGGACACTCATCAGCATTAGTGAATGAAAGAAGATCCTTAAAGGACAGTTCACCCCCAAATCAAAGATGGATATATTTCCTCTTACCTGTAGTGCTTGTTTGTTTTTGGTACTTTGAGGACCACAAGCCAAGTGCCTCAAGTTCCATTATATTTGAGAAAAAGCAGACATCTCTACAGCGGGTATCTCCAACACATGGCAACTCACACCAAAACAAACTAGAATGATACATTGCACTACAGGTACAGAAAAAATAAATATTTAAGATTTTTGTGGTGAACTGTCTCTTACAATCCAGTGCAGAAGATTAACGGCAAAATGTACTCAAACTATCAAAAGTAAAAAAAAAAAAAAAAAGTTTATGGAATAGCTTCTTTTCATAGTGTTTTATAATACATCACTGGACATTTTCAAAATTACAGCAGTGACAAGGCATCACCACAATTTTTTTTTGGCCTTTATTTGAAATTTTACTATTAAAATTATTACAATGTAGTGCAGTAAAAATACAATATTTGTCTTTTTTACTATTCCAACAATGCGATGATGTACTTTATTTGTGATTTATATAGTTTGTTTGACCAAAAAAATTGGTTGTAAAAAAGTGGTTTGTCCATAGGTCATAATCAAACTTGAAACCAGAAGGCCACCGGTACCATAGGGAAAACAAAAGAAGCTCCTGTCTCTTCTGGTGAAAATAAACAAAATAGACCCGCCCATGTACCTGCCTACATATATAAAACCTACCTAAAGTGCTTTCAAGTTTTTGCAAAGTAAAGAAACACAAAGAAATAATGAAAATAGCTCCTACTACTAGCAAATAGCTCCTACGCTGGTTACTGTCCAGTTAATTTACCCAATTTTCCCTGAAATTAGTACATTGCAAAATTACATATACCTCCATATGATTGCAGTCCATGTAAGACTCAGGTAAGCAATATTTATTCAGGAAACAATATTTAGTACAGGATGGAGGGGGGCTACAGGGGGAAACAAAATCATGTTATGGCCTTCAAGCAAGCAGCTTTTTAGGCTTTGCACTTACAAAGCCATTACTGCAGGAATGGGTGACAGTGTCATGAAAAAAGTAGAATGTAATAAAAAAGTTACACAGGTAAAAATACTATAACTTGACAAAAAGGAATTCAATACCTAAACCAACCACTCAACACTATATTTACTGTTAAATTCTCTTTATTTGAATTTATCTAACAATTTGTCATTATTATTATTAGTAGTAGTAGTAGTAGTAGTATTTTGGCTTACACGAACTTCCGTACCTTCCACGGTGAAATCACTTGACCGGTAACTGTTAGCTTGTCACGTGACAAAACAGCCGCCCGACCTCACATGACTACTCGTCTGACCAACAGCGGATTTTAACAGGTAAAAACACGAAATATCTGAACTGTGTTGTTCCTGTTAACAAGTTGCTAACTAACGATATTAGCTTCATATTAGCTTAGTGACACTAACCGACTAACCGTCAACAGTAACCATCCACTAAACTTAGACCAAGCCGCTCCTGCTGAAGTTGCTCCGCTTGCTAACATTAGCCACCGCCTCAAGTGTAGTATCTGACTTTACCAGAGTCCTGCTCACGTACAGTGTGACCTGTATGGGACCGTCTATATCTGCCTCAGTAGCAAAGAACAGCCAGTCCTTTTTAAAGCAAGCCTACATTTGTGAAGGCAGTTTAAATAAGTGACGCATTTTAAAGTAACAACTTTGATAGTCAGCTAGCACAGAGCGCACTCAGCTGCCAGTTTTAGTAAAGACGTTTGGTGTGGTGCGTCCTCATTCTGCCTCTCTGTCACCATCACATTAGCAGGGCGCCTTTATAACTTCGGTGACTGTGACCGTTTTCTAAACTGTGACTTAATTAAATTCTCTTTACTCCTTTAGTAAATCAATACAATGAGGCTGGTCATTCTGGACGACTATGACCTGGCCAGTGAGTGGGCAGCAAAATACATCCGCAACAGAATCATCCAGTTCCGGCCCTCCGCTGACAGATACTTCACTCTGGGTTTACCTACAGGTGAGCACCACCCACACAGAAAGGAAGGTGCTAGTAGGGTTAGTTGGCACAAGATCTCTGTAACTTTATCAACATTAAACGGAACGTATATCAATGTGTCTCTTTCAGGGAGTACTCCCTATGGCTGTTACCAGAAGTTGATAGAATACTACAGAAGTGGAGATATTTCATTCAAATATGTGAAGACCTTCAACATGGATGAATATGTTGGTGAGTTAAAGACTGGCTAATTGATCACTTAACTTTTCTGTTAATTTCATACTTACGTCATTGAACTTATTTAGTATGCGGTGTTGCTTTGAAATGTTTGAAAGATATTTGAGGAGTCGGCACTGGAGATAAAGCCTTCTGGCTTTAAATCAAAGGCAGGCTATTACTTCACACACTATTAGATATGGTCAGTCAGTCTTGTGCAGTGCACTACATTCCACTAGTGAAAAATCAATGTGTAGTCTTAACTTGAAGAACTCACTATACTTCAACCTGCGACTGTGATTGACTGCAGTGATTTTAGGCCACTATACACAGTGTGATAAGAACAGTTATCTTACAGGTTTATTTTGTGTCACACTTTGTGAAATGGTCAAGAAAACTGTGATTAGCAACATTGTGTAATTAATGTTTATATATAAGCAGATACACATCATTTACCTGTTTCACCACCTGTGCCACTCTTTTGCTCTGGAATCGCAATAAAGAAACAAAAGCTTTGGACATAAAGCTTGTGCTTCTTTTGTTCTAGCTCCTACTACTGCAAATGAAACTTACCATGACATGGTCACAGTCAAAACTGCAGGTCATACTGTCGTGCAGAAAACCTTTTTCTTATACAAAACTTTTACAGATGAAACATGTAAAAGGTATTAAAGTAGGGATGTCAAGATTAACCAGTCAATCAAAATCAATGTATTTATTTTTTTCCCCACCTAATTTTAGTGATCATCAAGCCTCTGCAGTTGAATTAACATCATATTATGCATGCATAATCTTATCATGATGGCCCACCAGCAGATGGAGACATGAAATACAATACTTTTCAATGTATATAATATTCATTCATTCATTGCACAAATTAAGAAAAAACATGTCGGCCAATTCTGATTTTAAAGCCAATGTTGGCTGATACTGATGACGTGCCGATATTATCGCGCATCCCTAATTCCTGCATTGCTGCCCTGTGAAAACCCGTCCCTGTAGGATATCTGGGGCTGTTCTAATGATTGTTGCATCCTGAAATCCCTGATTTCACAGTAGCCTTTCTTAAAAATTGCAAAGCATGTCGCTAACCCTGGCAGCGAGAGTAAAACTCAGATGACTTCATCACTCAGAAATTCTGTAAGGTGACACTATCAAACAAAACAGACTTGTTAGAAATGCATGGAGGTCCATCCAGTTCACATCAGCTAGCTCTAGATTATGTTATATTTTTATCTGAATTGCTCATTTTATACCCTCCACATCCTCGCGGCGAAGATGCTGCAGCAGTTTGTTTTGTTTTAGTGTATATCTGGCCCTTAAAGGGGGAAACCACCTAAATTAAGATTTTCAATGTTATTTTCATGGCCTAGGGAGGTTGAATCAATAATTGTGAACATGAGAAACCAGAGAAGTAAGTCTTAAATTAAAATATAGTCTGGAGCTGCTCCATAGACCCACAAATGAGCTTTACTCAATTGTAGTATTCTCAGATCCGAAACAGAAAATGTTTGCTGGCTGATATGAAGAATACAACTTTTTTTTTCCCTATCGAAGACCTTGATATCGATATTGCGCAATTTTTAGTTGGCTATATAATGCCCAGCCCTAGTACCCTTATACTCTGAATGTTCCCCTGGGTGCGGTCAGTGTCATCTTGAACATCTTTTCGAATTCATTTTTTTTAATGACATCACAGATTTGAGTTTTAGCACTCTAGTTTTTGGATTTGGGAGAGAGTTGTTAATGGGAACCAATATTGTTGGACTGTCTCAGACCATAGAAATAACATGTATGAATTTTGAAAATGGGCGTAGTTCCCCTTTACAGTAGGAAAAAAAAGTGTTGTCTTTACCCTGGAGGCTGGAGTCATGGCACTACATCTCTTTGGTAAAAAAAAAAAGGTGACCTTCTTGTTCTCCAGGTCTACCTCGTGCTCATCCAGAGAGCTATCATTCCTACATGTGGAACAACTTCTTCAAGCACATCGACATCGATCCAGCCAATGCTCACATCCTGGATGGAAACGCAGAGGACCTGGAGTCAGAGTGTCAGGCCTATGAGCAGAAGATCGCAGAGGCTGGAGGAATTGAGCTGTTCGTAGGAGGTCAGACACATTGTTTCTTATATTGTTTTGTCTTCCATACATGGGGCGCGAAATACCACGTGCATATGCATGGTAGCGCAAATAAAATCTGAATTCTGCACGCACTGGTGTAAGTAATTTGATGCAGAAAATGTGTTGTGCAGGGCTGTCAACACTCACGTGTTGACTACAAGACTCACACAATTGACTCTTTTCACATGGCCTTATACCACACGCCAATTGTTTACTTTATCATTTCATTCATAACTGATAACATTGCACTGTGAAAATGGGACATTGAAAGTGATGGGACAGCCAAGACAGCAGTAAGGCACAACAGCAGTACTGTAAAGCACTGCAGTTAAGCCAGCTGCCATTTGCATTTTGATGCATCCCTGGTACTTGGAATGGATGAATAAAGACTTGCATTACAACAATGATTTATTACATATCATATAAATAAATTAAATAAATGTTTTCCCTCAGAGATTTGCTGAAACTTTGATGTAATCTTCAGGATGACCCTGATTACGACCATGTAAAACAAGTTATCAGTTCAGTATCAGTTATCAAGTGAGGAAAATTTGCATAAGTCATCTCTTGGGTGAGAGAAAGTTGTCTTTAGCTCAGTCTTTGACCGGTTCCTCTCATTGTCTCTCTGTAGGTATCGGCCCTGATGGTCACATAGCGTTCAATGAGCCAGGTTCCAGCCTTGTCTCCAGAACCAGAGTGAAAACTCTGGCTAAGGATACCATTGTGGCCAACGCTCGTTTCTTTGGCAACGACCTCTCCAAGGTTCCCACCATGGCTCTGACTGTGGGAGTCGGAACTGTCATGGATGCCAAAGAGGTTAGATTAACCAGATTATCATGTTAAGATATTCTGTACCATATATGAACTATTTAGACATACCTTACAACCTCTGGCAGTTTAAATACAATTATATATTTAAAGAATACCTATTGCTTCATTCTTCATGTTCCTTTCCTGGATCCACAGTAGGAAGTAGCTATACTGACTATAACACTGTTGTTGTCTTCTGCTCAGGTGATGATTCTGATCACAGGAGCACACAAAGCCTTTGCTCTGTATAAAGCCATAGAGGAGGGAGTGAACCACATGTGGACTGTATCAGCATTCCAGCAGCACCCGCGCACCATCTTTGTCTGCGATGAAGACGCCACCCTGGAGCTACGGGTCAAAACAGTCAAATACTTCAAAGGTACCGACAAATAGTCTGTAGAAAAGAGTTTGCTGATATAAATAAGGTGTACCAAATATGACCAACACCAGTGTATAGCAGTACATTCTAACAACAGCAAACAGCAATCCATAGGCTTAACAATTAACATCAAGTGGAATCAACACCTACAGTATCTTAAACCATTTAACACAAACTGAACATTAGAGCCTTCATGGAGACTGGATTTATTGTAGGACTGTTGGATTAGACTGGATTAGTTTGAACTAGGTCGACTTGATATACTGCCAACTAAGTGCACATGTCCTGGAATATTTTCCAGAAAGCAGGTTGAGTATTAAAAACTCTGAGTTAGTTAACCTTGAGATGAGGGAAATTCTGTTTTCAGTTCCACTAAGAGAGGTAAGTTAGACTTTGGGTCAGTTACAATGGTAACTGACTCAATGATCCTAACCTGCTGCTGGCAGGTTTTCTTAAACAAACCCAGAGTTTCTCTCTGTCTCAGCCAGACACGCTGTTTCATTTCCTCATTGATTCAGTCGGTATTTAAAGCACGCATCGAAGCGCAACAATTAGTGGAGGTTTACTGTGCGGTACGGAGATTACTGTAATGGTACGGAGTTGCAGGCTTTAAACTCTGTGTGGGTGTGAACCCTTACAGAGTCATAGGGCTCACATGTGAGCTCTTAAGCAAGACTTATGGTTGTGCGTAGACCCTGCGCATGTAGCCTACGCATGTCACATACGTTGTTGTGAGCATTTTTACTTCTGTGGTGGTGTGTCTGTGTCACTCCACAGTTACACTTCCAAAACACTAGTCGGTGGCGGAGGTTTCTGTGAAGTGCTGTTAACTATAGTTGATTCAAAACACACATTAAATGTGGCTTAATAGAGACCATTGCAAACACAAGTACACAAATTGGCTACACTGTAACTCACAGCATTTACAGACAAACACATTTTCCCCACAAATACAACATGCTAATGTTATTAGCACAAGCCTATGGCATTTTACATTGTATAAATTAGCCTAGCGTCTAGCTATCTTTTCCTCTTCTCATATAAAGCCAGGGACAACAGCAACATTTAACAAAGGTAACGGCACACACTTTGGCTCCATTACAACTCACAAAGTTCACAGACAAAACAACTGTCTTATACTAAACACGTATCCAAAGAAATACAAAATGCTAACGTTATTAGCACAAGCCTATGGCATTTTACATTGTATAAATTAGCCTAGCGACGAGCAGAGATTTCCTCTGTTCATATGAAGCCAGGATAAATCCCGAATTATAAATCCCTGAAGGATAATTCACACACAAGACTTAAAATGCTATTTTAGTGGAGACTTTACTGTCTTCACAATTTATTGTTTCTTATCTGTGAAATACAAGTAAGTTAACGCTTCATTTCCACTAAGGGAAAAAGTGTCAGTATACAGAAACAGACAGGAGATCTGCGTCATCGCGATGCATAGTTACAGTTACACAATATATATATATATATATATAT